TGTTAGAGAGAGTCTGAAGACTCTAAACGGTGGAGAATGAGCCACGTCTTCTCCCGCCATGTACTAGAATTGAAATGCCGAACCAACCCTTCCCACTTTAGCACAAGGAGCCAAACACGGCAACGTTTAGTTACGTTCTCATTTGGAGGACAATTTAGTAAATTTAACGCATCGATCCCAAGTCGCAGGTCAGTCGGTTTCCTCGGCTTTCCAATTTTCTCGCCCTCAGCCAAAACCCAGTTCCAGTTCTCGTATCGTGTCTCTGTGGTGTTTGTTTCTGACTGAATGTCCGTACATGGCGCCGCAAACTAGAAGAACGTCGTTTCCGAAGGTTCTTATTGAGAGAGACACAGACTCTGAGCGAAGTTCCTCGGACGAAGAAGAGGAGGGAGAAGAGGAGCCACAATCAGAAGAAGAAGATGATGGTGATGAAGAAGAAGAAGAAGAAACAGCCTTGGAGAATGAAAATAGAAAGGCCTACGAAGAGGCTAGTGATGCCAAGAAGAAAGGGAAAGCACCCATTACTATCAGTCTCAAGAAAGTCTGCAAAGTAATCTGAATTGAGCCCTGTGCATTGTTTTTGCTTTCTAAAGTTTGCTTCTTGAAATCTAATTCGGTTTCTGGGTTTGATTTTCCTTTAATTTTTTATTTCTCTTTTCAATTTAGGTTTGCAAAAAGGCGGGTCACGAGGCGGGCTTTAAGGGCGCGACGTATATTGATTGCCCGATGAAACCCTGCTTCCTCTGCAAAATGCCTGGTAAATATAGTTACTACTTGGTAGTTGCTCCCATTTTCTTGGTGGGATGTTGTGGGATTTGCTTTTGCTTACACTTCCATGTTGGAGGGTATATTTATTTGGGGAATAGGATTCTATGATTGAATGTAATTTATTGTGTAGGACTAATGTTGAGTTAATTTTTGCTTTTTAAAATAGATGAACTGGGTAAAATTGGCTTTATTTCCAAGTTCTCTGGTAGTAGTTTATGAATTATGGCATTATACGGTCTACCATTTAATTGATTTTTCAATTGTTTTTCCCTCCCTTATGTTTACGATGGTATTTTTATTTTGGTACATGTTTGTTGCTTGTATGTTCTACATTATGGTTTCATTTCTGCATTGAAGGCCACACTACGATGTCTTGTCCTCATAGAGTTGTTACAGAACATGGGGTCATCCCAGCACCCCATAGGGATATCCAGAACCCTGTGGAATTTGTATTTGGACGTCAACTTAAACCAAGAATCACTCGTGTAGGCCTCTAAATACTTGTGTATAATATATATTCATTTGCTAATATCCAATAGATATAATGAGATTGCTTTGGTAAATGATTTTTGATTTGTTTTCTCTTGTACAATAGTTCAAGCCAGCTTATGTGATCCCAGATCAAGTGCATTGTGCAGCTATCAGATACCACAGTAGACGGGTAACGTGTTTGGAATTCCACCCTACAAACAATAATATCCTTTTATCTGGAGATAAGGTCAGTCTCTCCTGAATAATATGCTTTAATCGGGGTTAGGTTTATGACCAAGGTGTGATTGGTTTCAGATTGTTGACACCTGTTCCTCTATTTTTTCTTTTTTTCTGTACATTGTAAAAGAAAGGACAACTCGGAGTCTGGGATTTTGCTAAAGTACATGAAAAGACAGTTTATGGAAACATTCACTCTTGTATACTCAATAATATGAGGTAAAGTTTTTTTCCTTACAAATGTATGTAAGAAATTAAAAGTTCATGAGTGTATATTTTACTTCTGTTTAGAGTGCTTGTCTTTGCCTAGATTCTTTAATCAGAAGAAGTCTCACATCAATACAACAGGTTCAGCCCTGCAAATGATGGAACAATATATGCTGCATCCTCAGATGGAACTATAAGTTGCACAGACTTGGAAACTGGAATGTCATCATCTTTGATGAATCTTAACCCAGATGGATGGCAGGTTATAATTCTTTTCTGGTTTCCTTCTTCGGCTATTAAACCTCCACTATTTTTTCCTTTAAAAAAATATGCCTGATATTGATGCATCTCCTCAAACTTGATTCCGCCCCCCCCCCCCCTTCAAACTTCTCTGTACCTTTACAATAGCTGCCTTGATTTTTATGTTTCGATGTGTGACTCATCTGTAGTCCACATTCAGGGCCCAAGCACCTGGAGGATGCTTTATGGCATGGAAATCAACTCAGAAAAATGTGTTGTGCTTGTAGCTGACAACTTTGGTTTTCTTTATTTGTGAGTATTCTTCTTAATCATTCATTAAATTACAGACCATTTTCTGCGTTGTTGGAGATGATAACACTATACAAGCAGCTAAGAAAATAATGCCTAATTGGAAGCCAAGGAAAAAAAATGCATTTCATCTTTATGGCTAGCTCTTATCCACATTCTCTTACTTTGTTGACCTTCAACTTTTCCCACTTATTGCTGGATTCTGTATGGACTAACTTGCAACATTGGTGGTTTGTTTTGTATGTCTTTTGGCCCTATAAAATAGAGTAATTAATTGTGAATTCATTGATCAATTGCCTTAACTCAGAAAAAAAAGGTGAATTTATTGACTGAAAAATGCAATCAATCGTGGTCTTGCTTAAATTTTGTTTTGGAATTTTTTTGTATTGAATGCTTAGGGTGGATTCTCGCTCAAATATCCAAACTGGGGAACCAATTTTGATACACAAGAAAGGTAGCAAAGTTGTTGGTCTACACTGTAATCCTGTTCAACCAGATCTTCTCTTGAGTTGTGGAAATGATCATTTTGTAAGATTTCTAATTTCATTGCCTCTACTGTTTTTATTCCTTGATTTTGCCAAAGTCATGCATGGGGATTTCATATTTTCCTTTCATTGTCATTTGTGATGAAATGAAACACAGGCTGGATGCATCCTTATTGGTTATTTGCTTGGTATACCTCTTCTAATAATTGTATGTTCTTTCGCCCTCAGGCTCGTATGTGGGATATGCGTCGACTACAAGCTGCATCTTCTCTTTACAACCTTGAGCACAGACGTGTAGTTAACTCTGCATATTTCTCTCCACTGTCAGGCAGCAAAATTCTTACTACATCTCAGGATAACCGTCTTCGTGTATGGGATTCTATCTTTGGCAATTTGGAGTCACCAAGCCGAGAGATTGTACATAGTCATGACTTCAATCGACATTTAACTCCATTTCGAGCTGAATGGGATCCTAAGGTCCTATGATTTCCCATGGGAATGATGTTTTTGGCCTGTTTATTTTCTTTCCATCCTTAAAATTTTCATTTTGTATATTTTGCAGGATTCCTCTGAATCCCTTGCTGTTGTTGGCCGCTATATAAGTGAAAACTATCATGGGACTGCCTTGCACCCCATTGATTTTATAGACATTAGTACTGGGCAACTAGTAGCCGAGGTTATGGATCCAAATATTACAACAATAAGTCCAGTGAACAAACTGCATCCGCGAGATGATGTTTTGGCATCTGGTAGTTCAAGGTTAGAATTTGTTCTTGGGCTTAATCCTCATTTATCAATGCAAAAACTGACTCTACTTGAAAAGTTTATAGTTTCCATTTTTCATGTGTAGTTTTTTTGATAAGACCAGAGGTAATGCTAAATTTAGTGAAAGCCATTTTGCAGCTTTGCTTTTATCTTGTGTTTATTGTGAATTTCTATCGTTCATTTTGTTGCCACTATCCTGTGGTTTTCTGAACCAAAGTGTTTGTTTAGGTCTCTCTTTATATGGAGGCCAAAGGAGAAGTTTGAAGTGGCAGAACAGATGGATTCAAGGAAGATTGTTGTATTTGGAGGTCAGGAGAAGAAGCGTGGTGGAAAGTCCCAGGATGGATATGATGATGATTCTGATGATGACACAAACAACTTAAAGGGCAAGAATGTTAAGCTGCTCAAAAAGTCTGGAAAGCGAACGAGTCGCTATGGTCACAAGGCAAAACGCTAAGAAACATACGTGCTTCTAGAGTTCCAAATTCCGATAACAAGTGCCTCCACCTTTTTGAAGCCTTAAGGAATTTTGGTTGTTTTGCCATAACCGGTTGTGATGTTAACTCTCATTTTGATGATGGTGGGAACTGGGAAGCAGTCTATCATAAAATTAAGGTGGATATATGTCTTTCTGGAATCAATCTATCATGATCATATATGTGTGATTGTTCATAATCTTTTGACATCAAGTTGATGTCATGCAGCACTGCCCCCATGTGGAGTGGCGGTCATGCTTCTTTAAAGTGAGAAATAGGTGGAACGCACCCAGTTTTCAGGTCGAGTCTCAGATTCGACTTTTCTTGAACATATCCTAATCTAACATTGTAATTTCTTTTGTCAAAAAAATAAAATAAAATTGATGTCATGCAATACCTAATGGCACAAATTTACGCGATGCAAACTACCTGAAATGGGAAAATCTAATCCAATGACTTGGTGCATTACTCTTTCTCAAAAGTCAATAAAGTTGTACATAGTCATCCATATCTGCGCCTTATCATCTTTGGCTTAAACTAGATAAGGTGCTGATCTATGGTTTGGTCGCATACATACTGCTTGTAAAATAGAAGTAACCTTTTTCTCATGTATAGCAACGGTTGTGGATTTCATGACAACACCTTAGTGTGATAGGCATGAGATTGACATAAAAAATAGTTACCTCTAATTATTATTGAGATAGATCTTAATTACTTATAATTGAT